TATATATATATTAAAACAACTGAAACCTTATGTGTGTATATAAGTCTCTAATTACGAATTAGAAGTTCTTTTATAATTTTTATATTATTATAATTTACATATTTTTCAAATGCTACAATGCATCCAATCCATTTACATATAGCCCAAATGTTGCCATCTGAAAAAAATAACCGTGATTTTGGTGCCGCGTGAGACAAATATACAAAAAGGTAATGATTTTTGTTTGGAAGTGTTGACAATGCTACCTAATCCAATAAAGTCATTAGGGTATATGATAACTATAGAATAACAGAAACAAACTTAGTTTGTACAAATATCGCTTCTTTTGACTCTGTCAGATTAATTTTAAGTAGCGCAGTAAGCTGAGATGCAAGATTCTGATTTTCCCGGAAGAGTTTCTGTCAATTTTTTTTTGTTATAAGAACACTCCCAATTCTCAAAGGATCGAAGCAAAGAAACTTTTGTTCTTTATTGCTGCGATCGAATTTCTAGATATTGCTACATCTTTCATATTTATGCATTGTACTTCAGGGGATTGGAAAAGGAGAAACTTTGAAATAAATGCAAAAAAAAAATTATTTTAGTGTCTACTTATCATGTTTGCTTCTAAAAATCTTAAAACTTACATTGGAATAAAGAATCTAAGAATATGCAATAAACAGTTTGAAACTTAATTATAAGAATGTGATTTAAAAAGAAAAATGCATGCCGAAAACTTCGTTCTATGAACTGTTCTTTTAATTGAATATGAAAACAAGGCAAGTTAGAACAAATTCAATTGTGAAATTCAAAATTAAATCTCTAATTTTAAAACGATTTTTTTAATATATTATTTTAATGATTGTTAAATTGAATATGAGCATGATTTCATTTTTAACAGCATTTGTTAAAAGCTCCATTTATCTTGAGGAAATATAAAACTCAAATTAAAAGAAATTGCTCTCTGTAGTATTTTTAAAATTTGCCTACATTAAATTAAATAAAAATAAATCTAAGAATAAGAAATATACCTTTTAGACATCTGTCATAGATTATAGTCTATTAAATAAAAACAAAAGAAAAATTATTTTTAAATGTCATTTAGTTACTTTTATTAAATGAGTTAAATTGCATTAAATTACAACTAAATTGAAATCTTAAAATTAAAATTTAATCAAATATTTTTTATAAAGTATTTAATACAAGTAAGGAAAAGATCAAATTCGGTGGGACCGACATTGTGAGAACTATTAAAGCATCACGCATTAGGTGGCTGGGCCACCTCTTCAGAAATTCTGATGCCGTCCCTGCCAAAAAAGTGACTTTTTCCACAATTGAGGGGACGAGACGTAGGGGACGACCACCTACAAGATGGATAGACGACGTTGAAAAGGACCTCAAGCTATTGGGAGTCAACCGATGGCGGGCCGTCGCACCGGACAGGGCCAGATGGAGGAAAATCTGCGAGTCACCCTTGGCCTGTGAAAGGCTGTTGCGCTTATGAAGAAGAAGAAGGAAAAGATATTCAGTACCTATACTATATCTACAATTAGAAAAAACCTTGGTAAAAACTACCAGAATATGATAAAATACAGCGTGTTTCTGGCTTTATGGAAACACCAAAAAGCTCTGTAATTTCTGTTCTTAAACACTAAAAAGCTCTGTAGCACTTAGGTTATGATTTTGGTAAGATTAACAGTAAAACATAGTCTTATAACAAGTGATAAAATAGGATAAAATTTTGTAATTTTATAATGATACCTTAAAATATGGCATAAAAACCATTTATTTGGTTAAACTTACTACTCAGTTTCGTATTTTTTATTAAAAGTGTGGAAATACGATGCATAATTTTGAAAACCAGAATTTTCGGTAAAGTGTTACAATATGAACGGAAAAATTACCAAATTAATAGTTTAAATACCGTTTTATTAACCATAATTTTGGCTTTATTAACCAGAATTATGCTTTTTTATTACCAGAAATGTCATTACAGTAGAACTAATTTTACAAGAATTTTTACCAAAAAAAAATAATAATAATAATCTTAACACTTAAATTTGAATGCGAATATATTAAATCATATAGTAAACCGGTTGTTCTTTCAACACTACTCTTAATATAAATGTTGAAAAAAGTAGACTTATAAGTGACCTCAAATTAAGATTTAAGTGACAAAAAACTAAAGTTTTATTAAATTCTGACAAGTTAATGTTACAGAAAATAGAATTATAAAGATCAAAAGCAGTTTGTTTAACTAATGAAACTAGACTGTGCTTTTAAACTGTCCAATTTAATATAATTCCAATAATTGACTGTTTTTGATTTTGCATTTGTCAGTAGTAGTTTGTTAGATTTTGCTATTGTTTTTGTTTCTACCTCACTTAAGTGTCACTATATGACTCCTAAAATGTATATTAAGGAGCGTATTTGCGAAACACCCTGTAAAACACACTTATTCTCAATTAATAC